CCAACAACAGGCAATGGCAGACCTTCGACTGTCCATAATTCTCATAAAAGAAACATCCGCCGCTCGTGGGCGGCGCGAGGAAAATTGTTGGGCTGTCGAATTGGCGCAACTAATTGCGGTGTGAATTAAAATTTGTTAAGTTTGATAAAACGGTTACTGATGTAATTATATCTAATCATAAATGGGCGATAGCATGCCCCATCTACTATATATTTGTGAAAGTATGTATGTATGTATGTGCCAGGTTGCAGTCTAAACGGACGGACACAATCGAACAAAATTTTGACAGAGTATTGCCATGACACCTGGGCCTATAATAGGGCCCAAAAAATTGGGATCCGACAAGGGGGCGTGGCACCTCCCATAGGGGTGAAATTTTAAATCAGCCATAACTTCCAGACCATAAGTCACATGAACTTGAAACTTGGTACGCAGACATGTCAATGGTAGATGCTTATAGGCAGGTATATATAAACGAGTTTGCAAAAAGGGGAGTGGCACATCCCATAGGCGTGGAATTTTTTATCAGCCATAACTTCGGAACCATAAGTCCCACGAACTTGAAATTTGGTTTGCAGACATATCAATGGTAGGTGCTTATACGAGGGTATATATAAACGAGTTTGTAAAAAGGGGCGTGGCACATCCCATAGGCGTGAAATTTTTCATCAGCTATACCTTCGGAACCATAAGTCCCACGTACTTGAAATTTGGCTTGCAGACATATCAATGGTAGCTGCTTATAGTAAGGTATAAATAAATGAATTTATAAAAAGGGGCGCGGCACATCGCATAGGCGTGGAGTGTTTTACCAACTATAACTTCGGAACCATAAGTCACATCAACTTGAAATTTGGAGTGCGGACATATCTACAGCAGGGGCGTATAGTAAGGTATATATAAATGATTTTATAAAAGGGGGCGTGGCACAACCCATAGTGGTGGAAATTTTATCAGCTATAACTTCAAAACCATAAGTCACATGAAATTGAAATTTGGTGCGCAGACATATCTATGGTAGATGCTTATAGTAAGGTATATATAAATGGCTTTGTAAAAGGGGGCGTGGCACATGCCATAGGCGTCGAAGTTTTATCAGCTATAACTTCAAACCCATAAGTCACATGAAATTAAAATTTGGTATACAGACATATCTATGGTAGGTGCTTATAGTAGGCTATATATACATGAGCTTATAAAAAGGGGCGTGGCACATCCCATATTCATGGAAATTTTATCAGCTATAAATTCAAAACCTTAAGTCACATGAAATTAAAATCTGGTACGCAGACGTATCTATGGCAGGTGCTTATGGTAAGGTATATATAAATGAGTTTGCAAAAGGGGGCGTGGCTCATCCCATAAGCGTGGACCTTTTTATCAGCTATAACTTCGGAAATATAAGTCCCAAGAACTTGAAATTTGGTATACGGGCATATCTATGGTAGGCGCTTATAGTAAGGTATATATAAATGAGTTTATAAAAAGGGGCGCGGCACATCCCATAGGCGTGGAGTATTTTACCAACTATAACTTCGGAACCATAAGTCACATCAACTTAAAATTTGGAGTGCAGACATATCTTTAGCAGGGGCGTATAGTAAGGTATATATAAACGATTTTATAAAAGGGGGCGTGACACAACCCATAGTGGTGGAAATTTTTAGCAGCTATAACTTCGGCCGCTGTGGTGTAGTGGTAAGCAGTGCGCGCTTCCACTCCACAGCACCTGGATTCAAGCCCTGGTCAAAGCAACATCGCAAAAAAAAATATAGAAAAAAGGTTTTTTTCTTAACAGCGGTCGTCCCTCGGCAGGCAAAGGCAAACCTCCGAGTGTATTTCTGCCATGAAAAACAGCTTCTCATAAAAATACAATCGCCGTTCGGAGTCGGCGTCAATCAACATCAAGGCGCACGCCAAAAATCGGAGGAGAAGCTCGGCCAAACACTAACATATGTGTAAGCGCCAATCCAAAAAAAAAAAAATAACTTCGGAGCCATATGTCACATGAAATTGAAATTTAGCATGCAGACGTATCTACGGTAGGTGCTTATAGTAAGGTATATATAAATGAGTTTTTGAAAGGGGCGTGGCACATTCCACAGGCGTGAAATATGATGTACTTTGGTATGAATACATATCCATGGTAGGCGTTTATAGTAAAGTTTGTATAGATGAGTTTGTGAAAGGGAACGTGGAGCATAGGCGTGGAATTTTTAATCAGCCATAAATTGGGAACCATGATTCACATGAACTTGAAATTTGGTATGCAGACATACATATATATGGGAGTTGTTTAGAGTAAACTATATATAAATGAGTTTTTAAAAGGGGGATACATATGTATTCATCAATTATGTATATCACTCGGATATTTGTCTTATAATCTTTAGACCATTTCGGAACGGAAAGATGAAATCGTTCTTTTTTGATCCCGCGATGCTGTTAAACGAAAAATGTTCATTCACAATGAATAAATCTCCTTCCAAAATAAGCATTCTACCGGAAAAGTGGCGCTATTCTAAACAGCTAAGCGAATAGGCAGATAAACGGAATGTATAGTTTATCTCCTTTAATTTATGCTGCATTGAATATTTGTACTACTGTTTTATATTTTGATTTGTTTACCCCGAACAACGTCGGGTGCTCTGCTAGTTTCTAATAATATTAATATATGTGTTTTAATCGAATCTTACCCTAAAGACCTTTTTTTTATTTAAGCTTTTTTATTATAGGCACAATCGGATAATTTTTGCACAATTTGATTGAGACAAGACCTATTTTCTTGTTTTTATTGTAAAAAAGGTACATAAGTATCATCGTTATGAAAAGACACCTGAATTGGAAATTGTTTGTCTATGGGTCAATTCGTGAAACCAAAAACGCAAAAATGGTATGCAATTTAAATTCTTGCATTTGCATATCAAAAACAAGCAGACCCGGCGAATTTCGACCCGCCCAAAATTCACGTTCATTATTTCCAGATGGTCGTCAGAAGGCATAGTGTTAGATCGTGAAGAAGTTCTTGAAATTCTCTAATGATCTGGTGTTTCTTACCACGGTTATTCGCAAAACGAAATAAATTTGAAGAACTTTTTCCTCTTCACTCCCCGGCGGCAACACTGAGCCGGTTCGATGGTGAATATGTATTTGAAGCTATTAGTAGAGATGGGCAAAACACGTGCTTTTCTACGTGACACGTTATGTCACGCTTTTTCACGCGTGAGAGTGAGCGGTTTTGAGAGAAAACTCACGTAACTTCCGTAATCATGCGTGAGTTAGATTTTCCGTCAATCACAATAGTAACTTTCACATATCGCCCCTAACCGCCAAAAAGATGTTAACTACATTTTTTTCACCATTTGCTCTTTGATGCAGAAATGTCTAGATGCCTTTCTGCATCAAAATTAAAATTTAAAAAAATGTCGCCATCTTTTTGACGGTTAAGGCTCGATATGTACTATATATGTGTATTTTCCATGGTATAAGAAAGAAGGTAGTTTCACTTAATGATATTAGCAGCCATGTTAGCCGTTTGACTTTTGCTGAGATTATGACATTTTCATCGAAATCAAGCTACCAGATTGAAAATTATAATAAAATATTTTTCTGAAAAGAATTTGATCGACAAAGGATAAAACAAAATAACTTTTTAAAAATAATAAAAAGAAAAATGAGTTGCGCATTTGGAAGCTGCAAAAATACTACTTGACGATATCGAGTTTGATTGGCTGGAGAATTTTGCAGGTTACCTTAGCGGAATTCGGTTTCAGGACGAGTGAAGGGAAAGACAATAATTTACTTTAGTTAATTACATATCTGAAGGAGGTCTTTATAAACCAAGTGCTGAGTTTTTGAATCTTTTGGAGCATTTCAACTCGAAATTTATAGAAATTAATGATGAAAAATTAAAAAAGTCCAAATTAAAAAAAAAATGTATTGTACAATTCAAATGTTACTATCGAGAATTGTAAACCGTTTTTTTTTTGGGAAGGACATTTTTTATAATACGATATTTAAATCTAAAGTTAAAAGAGAACAAAACTAAATATGAAAATAAGAAAATGAGAAAAATGACATCTTGATGGGTTTGTTGAATTTATTACCTTAATAAAAACATTTAATAATGTTAACGAAACATACATGCATACATATAGATTAATTTTGAGTTTTGGGGTAGGGGTGAGAAATACCATAAACGTAAGTACATATGCCATTATCCATTGTACTTCGAAGTGAAATTGCATTCTTTATATGTACATATTTTCAATATAGCATGTACTAGACTTGTTTGGTTTCGTCTTAGAAAACTAAAATATTTACACCCATTTACTGTGAAAGAAATTCCCATCTTGAAATTCCCTAATATATTTTTAAATATTAACAATATGGTAATGTTGCTAGCAACATGAACACATTATGAAGCTTCAAAAATCTCAGTATCCCTGCAAACCATTTTTTCAGAGAATTCTGCATTGTAAAGAAATTTTAAAGAATTCGTTAAGATTTAATTCGATTATTTGCCGAATTTTCCAAAATGAAATAAATTACGCACACTTCCCTTCTTTTAAGAAATTTCGGAAGAAAATCTGTGAAGCAACGAAAATAATGGTGCTATGTGAAGAATATCTTTCAGAATTTTTCCAGAATTTTTTTTATTTTTCCTACAGAAATTTCTTTACGAGTTCGTGTCAACCACTTCATATAATTTTCTTTGAAAATTCGTAAAATAATCGTTGCAGAAATGAGATACTCCTAACGATTTCCTTAAGATTTCGGGAACTTTGGTTTGCAGGGATCCGTCAAAAAGTTGTTTATTGAAACTACCTTCTTTTTTTACCATAGTATTTTCAACTAAAATAAAATCTTAAACTACCACTGTTTAACTTATTTACTCTATGTATACACTTTTGATGAATTCAAAGGTACAACATATGAATCTGCAAAAACCGGTTTTGAAGACATTAATGCGGAAATTCAGAATTATTTA